AATTATTTATTAAATATTTCGGAATTAAAACTTTTTTCACATTATCTAAATAGTAAATATTCTGCATTTCTTGTGAATACTTCCTAATCGTAAACTTTATTAACAAGAGCATCAGTTGGGTATCTTATGCTTATTCACTTCGTTACTAAATTGGTTGACAAACGAATTAAGCAATTTATTAGTCAGAAGCGCCTGGGCGTTAAGTCTGATATTACAAATGTACAGACATTGCGATCCTTGACCTCTGCTCACACGAAAGTAAAAAAAATGCCATTAATCCTTTACAAAGACTACTCCTAAGACACGACCACTCTTTCAGCCTTCAGCATTTCTTGGAAAAAATCTACCACTTTTTTCTATATTTTTCATTTCATTCGCTAATATTTATCTAAATAAACTAATTGTAATCAACTGATTTTGAGTCATTAAGTCGGAGAGTCATTATTTTATAAACAATTACGAGTGACAACACACAATTAAACATGAGTTCTTAATCTAATTTCGTGAATTCAAAATCAACGATTGATGAGTAGGAATAACAATCAACATCTTCATCATCAGAAGCTCGCATTAAAAACTTGCTAATTAATAACTAATATGGTGATTACTATTGTATTTGGGTCGACTGGGGGGTCATAAAGTATTACCTACTTCTCTAAAACCTCTCCGAAACTAATCCAACTCTCAAAATATTTTGAACAAAATTGTAAGATCTTTCAAAGGCTTGAAATTGCATTTATTGGACTGTACATATCCGACTAGAAACATAAGCAGGTTAACCGAATATACTGTGAGGACCTGTCAAGGTGGTCGTATTTTAGGAATTTCTTTTAATGTGGAATGCATGTGGGAGTTCTACATTAGGATAAGCTGTTTAGGTCCAACTCAGAATTTCCACAGTTTATATAAAACGTTAATTGAATTTGGTTTTCTAAATGAGGACCTTATCGGCGTTTGATCGTTTTAGCCCTTATAAGGTATAAATTCCTAAATTCTGATATGGATTGAATGCGGATAAACCCAATAAGTTGTAATGTGAATTTACTTAGATACCATTTATACCTTTGGTAGTTGTACTAATTGTATTAATTTTACTACTATTTTTGAGTAATATAATGTTTGTAGGCATGTCTTTGTACAATGTCAAGAAAAATCGTATCAATAAATTTACTCATCGTGTATTTTTTTATAATGAATTTTGCAATCAGGTTTTAATAGAGTTCTACCCTGATTTATTTTTGAGGTTTTCTTTCTGATTTCCTTTTTAGGTTCTAATATTTATTTCCTTGAAAGGTTTTTCATATAGAAGAGAGTAACAATCCTAATCATATTCACATAAGGTGGACATTGCTAGGACTTTAGTAGGATAAAGGTTGTCCCTATCAGGTCCATGATCACAATTTCTAGTCGGGTATATCATTTTATTAGCTAAAAGAAGGATGAATAGTAAGAATTTTCCTGCACCACGTTGATGCTGGCCTTTGATGTTCGCATGCTATGTTCGGTTCCCAACTCCCCCACTAGTAGTCGAGGAAATAAAGCATTGAACCTTCTAATTTTGTGGAGTAAATCGGATTGAGGTGCGGTTTTCTGTATTCCATTACCGAGCGGCATGGCCTAGAAGTTTAGACCATTGCTTAGCATTCGGGAGGACGCCGGTTCGATTCCGGGTCCGTCTGCCTTGGTCCAAGTTTTTCTGTGGTTTCCTTGGATCACTTAGGCAAATGCTGAGGCAGTAATATTCCACAGATAATCTTTCATTCTCTTCTGTCTTCATTTCGTCCGTCTCATCTTTCTCACCCGAACCAC